TTGACAAAATTGATAAATCCTCTCTGTGGCTTGGAATTGATAAATGCTGTCAAAAAGGTTTTTCCAATAGGACTCTCTTTGTCACCTTCACCAGATTTTTATCCTCTGTTGTAGAATTGTGCAGTTTAATGTTGCGTTTCAAATCATTTTTGGCTGAAAAGGTGTGTAATGGAATCAGAGTGTCCCCTGAATACTCCTAACAGTAGGAGATGCCTTTTTGTTTTGAATACCAGAATCCCAATAGACCCATGACAGCGATGAAATTACACTTTTGACCTTGTTCACTAAAGTGTTTCTTTCTCTGTGTGATTAAATGAGAGTAACCAACAATAGCTTCCTCTAAAATACATGGCTGTGCAATTCTCAACTGATTGTGTTCTCTGCAAAAGAAAAAAAAAACAACAAACAAAACAAAAAAAGGGGGGAAAACCCCAAAACCAACCTAAACAAACCCTGTTTGATTCAAGGAGTGGTAGTTGTTTTATCCATATTAAAAATGCAAAAGCAATTGATATATTGATATTTTTCTTAGGCCAGTGTTATTGCTGTACCCAGAATGTTACAGCAGCAGTACAACACAGTGGCAGAGTTTTACGCTTTTGTTGCTTCATTCACCACAGATTTGATGCTTTAGTATTTATCCCCTTCTAAAATATAAAGAATCTAAATATAGAAAATAATCTTATGCTTAAGGTTCGGTGTGATTTTAGCTGATCATTGTGGACTATGCAGTTATGTCAATCCAAAAGATAAATATAGACTTTCCTCTAGATTTAAATGCAGCCTTTGAACTCCCAGTGTTTCTTTTCCCTTGCTTGTGGCTGAGTGGATATAGCCTGCTGCAGGGTTTGCCTTGACTGCCAGTCCTGCCTTACACACCCAGGCGCTGGCACACCTCGTGCTGCATATTTAGGTGTTCCAGGCATGACTTCTCTGGATCAGAAAAACTCAGTGAAGTGGTCAGAAGAAAGATACAAGGTCACAATCTTGATTCTTCCATTTTAGGCTACTTCAGCTGTGTTTTGGGGACTGTTTTTTTTTCTCCCCCAATAAATTCCGGTTTTCTGTTAATCTTTACCAGCTCTGGATTAGTGAATGTACTTTCTTCATTGTGCAGAGCACGTATCTGAAGTGCAAGGGCAAGTACAATCCTGTAGTTTTTGTGGGTGGGGAGTGAGGTAGGTAGCTGGGTTCAAAAGAGAGGAGAGGACTCTGGGAAATCCAGTTTGTTTGTGGAAGGGATCAAAATAAGTGACTTAATGGCCTCTGTGGCCTCAGGACTTAAGGACAGTTTCTTCAGTTTGTTTACTCACTGTGGATGATGCTGTGTGGAGAGGGCATCAGAGCCACGGAGCTTGGAGAGCAGTAGACTGAGGGGGCTGCAGATCTGCAACTCCCAAGTTCCTCTTGTGCCAAAAAACCTTTGCTTTAATTACTACTTCATTAGCGATATAAATTAGTTATTGGTAGGGGTCTGAAGCAACCTTGTAATCAGAGAATATTTGGGTAGTGTTGACATGTTTGTTCCCTGCAAACATGAATCATCCGGCTGCCTTTGGAAGCTCGCCCTGTGGCTCTGCTATAATGTGTTCCACTAGTGTGACTGAAATTAAAATGTCACTATTAACCATCGCAGACTCAGATCCTGTCGGGACACTGCATCTCTTTGAGGAGTTTTTGCTTCCTATGGAGACAGTTGGATTCTGGTATAAAACAATACATTCGTATTTCCACAATGCATGGGGAGCTAAATGCTTTCAAAGCACTATTTCACTGAGTGCAAGCAGCTTTCATGTGTGGCAGAAGCAGTAATGCTCACGTAACACCACGTTGCTGCTTAGTCCGTTAGGAAGCCTAAAGTCAAAATTAATTGTCCTGCAGGATCCTATAGAGGGGTCTCTAAAAGCAGTTGCTGGGCTGTTGGCGGCTGCCACCTCAGCCAGGCTCCCTCCCTGTGAGCAGTTACTGACTTTGGGCTATTGAATTCAGGGCTCTGGAGGTTGCTTGGTGGGAAAAGCCTTCAGTTGGTGCTTGGCAGCTCTGTCACTGTGAGGTCATGGAAAGGACAGTTCAGTCTCCAAACCCAATTAAGGCCAGATTTGGTACCTCTTCAGTCACAGGGGAAAATCCCATTAAGCCAGAGTGGCTCCTGGGACAGGCTTTCGCACCCAGCCTCTCCAGTGAGATGGCTGATGAATGCGTCTGTTTTTGTCACTTGGGCTGTCAGAAATACCCTTAGCTGTCATGAAATGGCCAAGCAGCTGTTGCAGAAAGGTAAAGAGCCTGGTAAGAGGATAACAAGCCCACCAGAGTTGAATTCAGACCGGTGACCTGTTATGTATATGTCTGCATCCCTCCAGTTACTCATATCTAGAGCCGTCTTAATTCCTCAGATCAAATCATTTGACTCTTATGAGCAGCTGTAACTTTCAAGTTGAATGAAGTCCAACTGCTGAAAACATTAATGAAAAACATAAAACTGAGGGTCTGTTTTACCAGGTATCAACAGCATTGCTTTAATTCCCTCCCTCCAAAGATTTGTTTTATTTTTGTGCTAAGTTGTGTTTTTCATCCCAGGTGGCTGCAATTTCTAGTGAAAATAAGTTGAGACATGAAAGGTTGACCCACTCACCTCTGAATTGCTTTTTATGTGATGTGAGTCCCTCGGGGCCCAATTCTACCCATAGAAGTGAGAATGATAGCTATCAAAGTATAGAGGAAGTATGTCAATGTGCACAAAGAAAAAGGTGAGCCCCAGATTGGCCCAAGTGGTATTTAAAATATGGATTTCCTGTAAAATGGTGGTTAAAGGGGAAACAAAAGATAATTAAAAAATTTGCCTGATGTGCTAGCAGTTATATCGATGTTTGCTTTTTTATACTAGCTCTTTCAGACAAGCATGGGATCAGTAGATCCATTATGACTCTCTTAAACCAGTGTGTAAAATTTGGTTAGTGTCTGATCAGCTCCTTTGATCAGTCTGGTCTAGACTGTTGCCAGAGCACTTACTCTGTACTGAACCCACAGTTCCCTTAAATGGAGGACTATTCCAGTGAGTCAAATTACATATGAAAAGGTTATAAAAACTGTCCACTGTCTTTGAGTAAATGAATCTGGTTCAAAGCTGAATACCTTAGGAATTGCAGTAATAAAAACAAAGGTGTTGTTGCAGGAAAGAGGTGGTGGAGTTCTTGATTCATTTTTAAATGACTGTATCAGAAATTCAAAAGAAGAATTTTCAGCAAAATTTTATTATTTTTAATTGGACCAACATTTTTGTAAGCCTGTAATGTATTCCATAAAAAAATCTGCACAAATTTCTCTTAAGAAGCTAATGAGTTACAACCACTATGTTTCTCATTTCAAACACACAATATTTGTTTTAATGGTAGTAGTGGAGGGCCAGTGGGAGCCTTCAGTATGTAGGCTATGCTCTTACCACCTCTTATTTCAACATAAAATTATTTGCACGGGAGTACTGGAAGTCCAGGAGCAGTAAATTTGTTGACAAAGCAGAACTATTTTTGCCCTCATCACTAGAGCTTTTTTTCGCCTCTCCCATTGTAGCACCATTCTGTACCTGTCCGTTCCTTGCCACGTGACTCTCCAAAGTGTGAACAGTTCCTTTTCTCTTTGATAATGCTCCTTCATTTTGCTTAGTAGCAGTAGTTAGATGATAGTTCTGAGACAATTTTGGTCGAATATCATATCCAGAAGACTTGGAAAGTTATCCAATGCTACTGATTTTACAAAGCTAGTTTGTACCCAGGCTGGTTGTCTCAAGTTGTCTGTGTTTTGCATTTGGAGGTTAAATTTCCAGTTTTCTTGTGCCTGCCCTATTTGCTGGTCACGTTGCAGTGCCATCAAAATACCTGACGTAGGAAGCAATGCCAGCAAATTGATCAAATTATCAAGAGACATAAGCTAGCATGTGACCATCACCTCGGCAGGATGAAAAGATCACGGAAGGGAGACCATCTAAAACATATAGAAACTGGAATCCAAGTGACAGTTGCTTGTTTTATCTACACAAAATTCTGTGCACATTCAAGACAAGAGCTACTACTGTCCAAACACTGAATTAATCTACTGATGGTTGAGAAACAGCTCCAAAGCAGGCATTAAAATCTTTTGAGTTGATAGCTAGTACATCCGGCTCTTTGAAGCACCAAGCGTTACAGTACTTACAGAGCTGTGTAAATAATGGAAAGTTAAAAGAATGCTGTTCTGTGAGTCAATACATGACCACAGAATGCAGTAGGAATACTGGGTAAATTCTTGCCTCTTGAGACTGTGTTTCAGCCACTGGCATTACACCAGGGAAGAATCAGACCATATTTTGCATGCAGCACAGCCAATTATTAAGAGGCAACAGGTAGATATTTGAGAGAATTTCCTCCGTGCCATTTGCAGAATTGTATGTAAAATCTGGCTGATCTATACTCATTCCATTACCTGTCATCTTTCAGCAGGTAACTAGTTAAATTCCTGTTAAATAGGATTTGCTTTGCCATTTTCATTCACTGTTGGAGTTGAAATGTTCTGACATGACATATGACCAATCAATAATTGGAAAGTGCTTGCATGAGTCATTTGAAACCAGTAGTTTAGACAGTGTCAGCCACATCTGGGATTAAAACCTGCAAAGAGTCCTTCTACAATCAGTGATTCTGCAGCATCTCCTCTGGGTGTCTGCATTTCACTTAATAAGGATCCCCTGTAGACAGCAACTGAAATAACTCTTGCCTTTCTTGCTTGGATGTTTTTGTGAGCTCTGAAGTGAACTTGGCATATACAAATATACTTTGTTATCCAGCCTGAAGGATGCAGGGCAAGAAATACTATCCTGTTCTGCTGACAGCTTCAGTAGAAAAGAAGCGGCTTTATTTTACTGTGATTCTGAAGAGAATAAGAGTGTGACTGTACCCTGTGGTTTTCTGAGTATTTTTTACCTTTTTTTTTTTTTTTGGTACTGATGATGTTTTTTATTCCTATTACAGGGCTATAATAATCCGAAATGGTGAAGTCATTCCAATGTCTTCAGAATTCACTCCAGAGACCGAACGCCAGCGACTTCAGTATCTGGTAAGAAACCCGAGGACCAGCTCAAATGCTGCTAAAGGCAAGCTTTGCTTGGTAATATCCAAGGTTCAGACACATGTTGCTGAATTACTGTGAAAGTTCACATGTCCACTGAACACCAGTACTTGCCATGTGTATCTTTTAGCCATCAGCAAATGTGGAGAAAAGCCTGGTGGGACAAATCCCAATGAAGCAAGTTTTGTCTCTTCTGTGAAGGCCATTGATTATCATGGCTGTGCTGTGTAAGGTTAGGGTTCAGCTGCAGACCTTCAGCAGCTCATTGGTGTTGGGTAATGAGAACACAGACATAGACCTAACAAGACACAGAGGCATTTCAATCCATCCCTGCATTTACTGTGTATGAAATACCACAGACTGCTCTTTGTGTGTGTGAGCAATACTGCAAGGTTTTATTCAATTGCTCTGATAATATGCCAATAGTATTGAAGTCATGGAAAACATATTCAACTTAGAAGTGATCTCAGTGAGTAGCTGCAGGAGAGGATGGATGAAAAAAGAATAGTTTTATGTAGTATAGCAGCATCCATGAAGCTAGGACAGGGTGACTAGCTGAGGAGATGTGCCATGCTTTACACACCAAGTTGTGTTGGCTGATAAGCTGCGCGAGAAACTTAAGTCAAAATACATGGTGTTATTTTTCATGCAAACAATCTTGTTACTTTTTAAGTTTTTCATCAATGCTCAGATATGCTGGTTGAAGTTGGTTGGGTTGTTTATCAAAATATCATTCCTAATGTGGCTGGGAGATTTCTCCTTCTTCTCATCTTCTGCCTTTTCCTCCTAGAAATTTAAGCTTAAACCAAGGCAGGCTCATTGTCAGCTTTGCCTGATGCGAGGTGGACAGACCAAGGCTAGTGGCATTCCCTGATTTTAAGGTGTCTCTTATCTTCAGCCTGGCCTGAGCACTCTGGTTTGAAATTAGGCAAAATGCCAGTGGTTGAAGGCCAGGGTGGAATTTTAAATCTTTCCGCAGTTGTCAGGCCTAATTTTTCATCAGATTCATGAGCTTAAAGCTGAAAAGTTCAGAGGAAGTACTGCTTTTGGAGTATTCATATTCAGAAAACCAAATGGAAAAATAATATAACTGATAAATATTTACAGTTCAGTTACATTTAAAATAATTTGTTTGCCTTTAGAGTAAAAGGTATCTGTAGTATCTTGGGAGTCTTCTATAGGAAATATGAGATTAAAAATTGCCTACAAGGGATCTTTTTTTCCTCTTTTGATGTCCTTTCTGGCTTATATTTGAAAACAGCAACTGATTTGAAAAGCATTTCTGCTGCTTCCTTTGGAAAATTCCTTTACGTATGTTTGTTTATTTTAAATCTATATGTAACAAATATACCAGGGCTATGGGTATCATGTTCAAAGAAAATACATCCAAGACAGCAAGAGCGTGAAACAAAATTAGAGATAATTTCAAACATAACATTCTATAAGTAGCATTTTTACTCTAGTGTTAAATAAATAAATAAATCACCCCGAAGTTCTTGCAAGGTTGGCATAAATATTACACTCCAAAGGTTTCATCTGTCTTGCTGATTAGATCCCAAATAATTCTCCTTACTCATCTTGGCTGCTCAGGTTCTGCTATCAGTCTATTGCACCATCCACATCTCTCTTCTGCTGTTCTTATCTGAAAGTTACTTACTTGGGATTTATTTTTGTCTATGCAGTTAAAACTGAGTTTCTTTGTTTAAACATGTTGCACTGCTCTTCCTGCACAATAGGAAGAAAATGACTTAATCATTTTAGCATTAATATTTTACTTGATGAATGCAGAATGGTGGGGAACTTACTGCACAGGCAAAGGGAGGTTATTGATTTACAGCCTGCAGGCTACTGAGTGTTGGCTCCCTGTGCAGTAGACACTGTTAGCACAGGCAGGGAGAAGGAGCTTTCCTCTGCATTTAGTGCCTGTTTATTGCTTTCTCCACACAGAATGTTGGTTTAGGTTAACTGGCACCTTCTGGATTTGCCTCCTCTTTTCTAGGTCCTAATTTCCATGTGCAAAGAAATCTGCCAGATAATGAGTTGTTTAGGTCACGTGAGCATCTCTATATGAAGTCCTGCAGTGTAGTCTTAAGCAAAACTGTGCTGGTTGAGTAATTGAGAGAGGTGGAAACAAGTGTTTTGCCTATCCAGCTCGATATTAATGCAGGTTTATTGCCATGTATCCAAGAATGTCCTTGGACATAGGCCTTTGGCACAGCAACTTCAAAAGAACAAGTTGACTACCCAGTCATTCTGACTTTTGAGCAGCTCTGGACATGGTCATCTCTCTGTCTTCACTTGCATCCTCTTTTTTGCAGTGGGAAGACAGCATACAGCTGCGGATTTCAGGCAGGCTGTATTGCAGAGGCAGACTTCTGTGTCAGGGGACTTGTGAGAGTATCGCAGAAGACAATTGGTCCTTCAGTCAGGAGCACTCCTTCAGATACAAGGCGTGAAAGCCTTGCACCAGTATTCCCTTGGTTCTTTGGCTTCCAAATAGATTCAGTGCACCATGCTGCTTCCCTTCCACTGGCAGGCATTCATGAGCCTGCTTGTCTTTTGAATTTTTGAATCTTTTCTTTTTTAGCTGTGTGAGCAGGAGATCTCACTCAGCATCTACTTCAGGAAAGTGCTGGCTTCCCATATCGGTGTATCTTAAAAGGAGAACAAAATCCAGTATTGACTGGGAACTGCTCTGATACATTCAGCAGTTGTGCATGCAATGACTACCAAGGGCAATTTTCCTTTAATCTTCTGAAGAGACTATTAATTTCAGTCATGATAGGCTACATTGCAACAGTAAATGGCACAGGTTTTGTTACTTACTCCCTTTGAAAATGTGTTTTAAATGAACAATGAGTGTATTGCATATGGATGTATTTCTGTTAGTTATCAAAATTGCACTTGGAAGTTGTCATGTGAGGTCAGCATGATGTTATTGTATAATGTGTCTATGCATGTAGCCAGGCAGTGGCCCAAAAATTTACAGCTCAGACCAAAGATGATACACTCCTGCTACCAGGGCAGGCTTTATCATTAGTAGGGACTGGGTGGCCAGCAGTGGCAGTGAGCTGTGGATGATCTTTGTGTTGGGCACAATAAAAAATGGCACAGTATGATTAAGAGGATGAATTTGTAATATATAGTTGCTGTAGGGA